AGGGGATTACACTGTTTTTAAACGGAAAGTGAATCAATTAACATAATAGACTCCTAATATAACTCAACAAACTCAATTATAACACACAAATTTTGTGTTTCCAGTTATAAAAAAGATTCTCAACCGAAAAACACCCCAAAAACATAGCAATCTTCAGAGAAATTATATAATACAGCTGAATACATATATTATATTAATTAAAAAACATATGAATACATTCATGGAATATAGCGAGACAGTGAATACAATGAAATACATAGAATACATCGGGATACATTGAAATACAATAAAAGAAAAGACAATGAATACATTGAAATACATAGAATACAGCGAGATACATTGAAATATAATGAAAAAAAGACAATGAATACAATGAAATACAACGAGATACATTGAAATATATTAACATAGGTTTTTGTTGATCCGATATGTTGCGTCAGAGAATGAGGTTGGGAGGCTGAGGGCGGCGGTATCAATGAATAACAGCCACGGTCAATACGGTGACGGTGGCAATTGCTCCAGCGTCCAGCGGAGGAGAAGACATCGGGAAGTAGAGAGAGAGAGATGGAGAATAGATATGGGGTAGGGGATAGGAGAAATTTGAGGGGATATGAGAGAGAAAAATAATACAAAGCTTATTTTATGGCTTAAGGGTTGGAGGTGACCATAAATAGATATTTGGCTATAAAAATCAAAAGGTAGCTACGGAATATAATTTTTTAAAAGGGTAATTATTTAAAATAAATAAGGTATCAACCTTTGCTATAGGAGGTAACTAATAGAATATCTAGGTACAGCCTTGAATCTATGGCTTTTAAAAGCCCAAATATGAGCTTGACCAATGGACCAAGAAGTACTTTACTAAGAATAAGCGGTGTCATTATTATATATTGCTTCATTTCTACAGAATATTAGTATAAATATTTAATATTTTTTCCGGCGAAGCGGTGTCGTCCACCCTTGTGCATCCGTCTCTGTATATTGGTTTGGTATAAGTACCTGGTACGAGTAAGTTTTTATCGTTACTGAACTCCCGCGCGCTCTTTTCTTTTTCTTTATTAATAAAACGTACAGCTTTATGAACCCGTATTATCAAATTATGTAACAAAAGTATTTACAAGAATGAACTTGACCATTCTTAGCATATATGAAGGTACTAACATATTTAAATAATGCCTAATAGGCCCCCTGTTTTGCTGAAGTCACTGAAATCCAAAAGGAGGACAAACCATCCGACTAAAGTTAATAGTCCTTTTGTGATTTGGGGAGTTCTGTATAGCTATCAACAGTTTGACGAGTAATATTTTGAGCATATGTATGATTAAAAAAGAATCTCAGAGTTGAGTAGGTTTCCTATAACAATGTGAAACTGTTTTTCTTTTTCTTAAAAAATATTATATTTTGAGGTGCAGTTGACCCCCGTAAATAATAAGAAAATTGCCAAATCATAACAAAATTACTACGACTCTTAGTGGGCGTTTGGATATAAGAATTGTAAAGTTCCAGAAAAAGTGAGAAAAATTCAAGTAAAAATGATATTTAAAAGTAGAGTTGCCTTTGGACATAAACACAATTTTGGGTTGTTTTTTAATTTTTGTGAGTGATCTGAAGTGAAAATTTTAAAAAATAGCTTTTTAAATTTTTTTTAATTTTTTGAAAATTTCCGAAATTCATCGTCAAGTGAAAATTAAAAATATTATGACCAAATATTAATTTCGAAAAAGTGAATTTTTTTAAATAAAAAAGTGGAAAAAAATAGGGATTTTTTCCTTCCTATACCATATATGAAACCTTATTACCAAAAATGTGCATATTTTGTAAATTACCCGCCCTGTGCACTGTTTTTCTATAATTTTTATACCATTCATTAATTAGTAATTAATAGTAGCTGAATCTTCCTAATATGGCGCGCTAAAAATCAGGAAAAGAATATCCTAATTGATTTAGCGACCTTCAGTTCAAATTTGAATGCAAATCCTTTATCTGATCTCTCCCGAATTTTTTTCGTAATTCAAAAAAAATGACGAAAAGCTTCAACAAACTGAAATCAAATTGTAGAAATCAGTTCGTCGAGTTTCTTCCTCAATCCAGACAGCAAAAAGGCGACCAGTTATTCAACAAAATCAAGTCAAATTGTAGAGACCAATACTGCCGATACTTTGTTCTTCATCTTTTTTTTCTCAATCCACAAATCAAAAAAATAATAAAATATAGAACAATACCTCAGCAACAACACTCAATCATGTCCAAAATCCCAATCATGCTACAAATTGAATGGGAAAAATCTGATTATAAAAAATGGGTCTCATCTCTGTATTTTTTGAGAAGAAGAAGGAATTGAGAAGAGGAAGAAAGGGGAGGGGAAAACGGCGCTGGTCTTAGGTTTAGGGGGAGCTGATTAAAATTGTTATGTTACAAATTCTATGAAAGTCTGATTTTATGTTAATATCTACAAAATTCCTACATTTATCTACAAATAAACTACAAATCAGTTTAAGTATGTATAAAGCAGTATTGTTTTTAAGGGTATCTATAAAATTACTATATTTATACTACAATTAAACTACGATCTATGTTGGAAAAAAATGTTGACTACAAAATTTTCTATTCATGTACAAAATTTCTACAAATCAGTTTTAGTATTGTATAAAGCTGTATTGTTTTTAAGGATATCTACAAAATTACTACATTTATACTACAATTAAACTACAATCTATGTTGAAAAAAATGTTGACTACAAAATTTTCTCTTCATCTACAAAATTTCTTCAAAAAAACTACAAATAACTACAAATCAGTTTAAGTATTGTATAAAGTTGTATTGTTTTTAAAAGTATCTACAAAATTACTATATTTATACCACAATTAAACTACAATTTATGTTGAAAAAAAATGTTGACTACAAAATTTTCTCTTCACCTACAAAATTTCTACAAAGAAAAAAACTACAAATCAATTTAAGGTTTCAGGGTGAAGCTTAGTCTTTAAAAGTTGAATCTTTGAATCAAAGTCAGAAGAAGGGGTAGGGGATTGATTGGTTTAGTAGCAGTAATAGACACAAATCGAAAGTTCATATGCTCTCCCCTGGCGAAGATCGTTTAAAGGTTGAGGGCTTCATCAGTAGACGTGGATCTGAACTTGCCTTGAAGTACTTATGTGAAAAATTGGGTGGATCTTTGTTTGAAAAGCTTCCTAAGCTGTGGGATTGCTTAGTTGAAGTTCTTAAGCCTTGTAGTCTTGAAGACATGACTGAAGAAGATGAAAAAGTTATTACTTGAGCTATTGAGTTGGTTAAAGATTATCAAAACTTGATTAACATACGTAACAAAATTGCAATTTTCATCTCTATATTTTTTGAGAAGAAGAAGGAATGGAGAAGAGGAAGAAAGGGGAGGGGGAAAAGGGCGCAGGTCTTAGGAAGTGGGATATATGGATACCTTTAATTAAGGAGTAAAAACTGCCCATTAATTAGACCCTTAATTAAGTATGGTATAGGATTGAAAATTTGGTATACTAAGTGTAATTAAATCAAACCTTAAACATTGATGGTAATAAGGTTTCCTATGTGGCATAGGAATGTAAAAATCCCTTTATCTTTTCTTTGTTTTATTTTCAAAATTGACCACTTTCTGAACAACACTTTAATTTAAAACTAATTTGCAAAATTAACCCATTTGACTATTTTTCTAGCAATTAACTAATTTATTTAACTAATAATGCATGTAAAGTGCCTAATGTATTTTGTTATTTTAATATTTTACAAATGTAATTAATTATGCAATTAAAATCTAAAAAAAATGCAAAGATCAAAATATTTTTGTATCTTATTAGGATTAAAAATGCTACTAAAAATGCATCAAACATAAATACGCACAAAACAAATTAAAAAATTATAGAGAAATTCCTAAAATTCTGTAAAATGATTAAAAGCTATTTTTGAAAATTTTAGGAGTACTATCATATATTGGGCAAAAATTACGTGCTCACAATTATTATTATTATTATTATTATTATTATTATTATTATTATTATTATTATTATTATTATTATTGTTGTTGTTATTGTTATTATTATTTTTGTTGTTGTTGTTGTTTGTTGTTGTTGTTGTTATTGTTATTATTATTATTATTATTTCAAGATTAGATCTAGGAATTGTGTAAAGAGAATTAAGGTAAGCCTCTCCCTAAATGCATTGTATCTCTGCTTTTAGTTTAGTAAATTGATATCTTTCTTTAAACAAAAAATTAGCAAAANCCAACATAGATCGTAGTTTAATTGTAGTATAAATGTATTAATTTTATAGATACCCTTAAAAACAATACTGCTTTATACATACTTAAACTGATTTGTAGTTTATTTGTAGATAAATGTAGGAATTTTGTAGATATTAACATAAAATCAGACTTCCTCTTCTCCATTCCTTCTTCTTCTCCAAAAATACAGAGATGAGATCCATTTTTTATTATCAGATTTTTCCCATTCAATTGTAGCATGATTGGGATTTTGGACACGATTGAGTGTTGTTGCCGAGGTATTGTTCTATATTTTATTGTTTTTTTGATTTGTGTATTGAGAAAAAAAAGATGAAGAACAGATTTGATTTCAGTTTGTTGAAGCTTTTAGTCTTTTTTTTTTTTTGAATTACGAAAAAAATTCGGGAGAGATCAGATAAAGGATTTGCGTTCAAATTTGAACTGATGATCGCTAAATCAATTACTATATTCTTTTCCTAATTTTTAGCGCGCCATATTAGGAAGATTCAGCTACTATTAATTACTAATTAATGAATGGTATAAAAATTGTAGAAAAACAGTGCAGAAGGCGGGTAATTTAGATACTATGCACATATTTGATAATAAGGTTTCATATATGGTAAGATAGGAAAAAATCACTTCTTAAATTCTAGCCGTTGCCAAAACAAAAGTGTCGTAATGTTTTTCCTTAATTAATTATAATTTATAATTATTTGGTGTGCACAAACTCTAACTTAAAAACAAAACATATCCATTATCTTCCAAAGTCAAGATTTCAAGAGTTGCCCATTCAATGGACCCCCACCACCCCCCTCTATATCAACCCGTGGATCCACCGCCGGAGCCAACCTCCGACACCATGGCTACCGAAATTCCACCGGAACCTTCAAACTCCGGCGGCGTTATGAAGAATAAACCGAAGAAGAAGAAAAAGAAGAATATACTGTGCGTCAATGACCCTTTTGACCCTCAATCTTCTTCCGCTGCCTCCTATGCCTCATCGTCTTGTTCTACGACGTCGTTTGCTCAAAGGGGTATTAGGGTTTCGGCAAGTCGTCGGAACCCTAGAGTGGTAATTGGGTCCGTTGGCAGACAGAAAAGTGATGAGAATGTTGAAGCCCTTGCTCTCCCTCTTGGCATGTCTATTGCTGCTGTTCTTGCTCAGGTTCTTTTTTTTTCTTTTTCCTTTTCTGGAATTGTAAAAAGTAGTACCTTTTCTGTAATGTAGGTGGCGCTTGCTAGAATCCTAGTTATATCTATTTATATTTATTTTTAGTAAAATTGTGAACCTTTAGAATGCAAAAAGAATCAGTCTTTTTATGTGAAATTTGTGAACCTTTAGGATGCAAGATTCAATTTTTATGTGAATTTTATGCTATATTTGAGCTTGGGATTGGTTTTTAGCTGGTATTATTCATATTATCTAATGAGGTTTCTTGTGTTTACTAAATACTGTGATTTGTAATTGTGGATGGAAATTGTTTTATTCCTTTTAAGCTACATTGTTGGATTACATGGAAAAGCTTCAGTCTTTTTCGTGAAAGTTGTGTTTTTGTGTCGAAAGAAGTGGTCTTGATTTTGAGATTGAAATCTAGCTGGCTAAGATGCTATATCAGTTATTTGTGCTTCTTGTTGTTACTTTTTTTGGCGATGAGTTGGAATTACAATTGGAAAATTCTTGCAATTTTCTGAAGTTATTAGAAAATGTGTTGAGACTGAAAGGAGGTGTGTGGAGCTGCTATGTTGCACTGGTTTATTTTGAAGATCATGTTTCCTTTTTGTGTCGTGGTGTATCCTTTTTGTGTAATCTTGAAGATCATGTTTCAACCGTTTTTGTATATTTCTCTATCATTCAATAGGCTTGATTTTTGTATATTTCTCTATCATTCAATAGGCTTGATAACTTGTTCATAGTCATATGACCTCACAATAATGTGTTTTCTAGAACTAGCTTCGGACAAGATTGTTAAAGCTGGCTCAACATTTGTGTAGTAAAATATCAAAAGCAGAACAGTCTAGGTTGTTACATCAGTTTTTTTAAATCCATAATCCCCCTAGCTGTTCAACTTGCAGTATTGTTTGTTAAAGAAAAGAAAGCAACAAAACTATTACTAATTGGGTAAGATGGTTAGTTTTCGAGATACTGGAATATAGCTAGGACGACACAGTTTATATTAAGTTAGGAGCCTAATACTTCATTCTTCTGATAACAAGTCTTATTCTTTCTACCTACTAGTATGTCGTTTTTTCAGTTCTAAGATGGTATCATTCAGGTCAAGTGTAGCTATGATTGGAAGAAATAGAAAGTCGCTCATCGACTGTGTGTGCATTCTGCTAGAGGTCTTTAACATCTGAATCAATCTGGATCTTAGAACTAGTATGCTTAGCCGAACGGAGTGAAACTTCAGTTTATTACAAAGGTGGATATTGGTAGTTCTTATTTGGAAAAAGAAATATACTATTATGTTTCGTCTTTTGTGAAGTTGACTCTTGATTTTGCATTCATTATATATTTTTCTTTGTGAATGCTAGTTCCATAATTTTGTATTGTAGTCATTATGATAAAACTAGGTATAGTTTTATATTATCTTAGGTGGAGATGTATTGATCCCTTCTCAATCACCTGGATTGATGCCCCAATGAATTTTGATTCTGTTCCTCTTCTTTTTGAGTCATAGTCTGCTTCGGTGGTCGTTGCTACACCTTCTTCCACTTGATAGTTGTCCCCTGCCTATACCGTCAACCCTAAGGTTGCACACTTATAAATGTTAGATTTGTTTCATATTTGGTAAAGCTGCTTTGCTGTATCCGTCGTAACACTAAATAGTGTTACTAGGTTGATTATCACTCTTTCTGCTCAAAAGTAGCAATTGTATCTGGTTCTTGGATGGGAATGCTCTCATGATGCACGATGAGGGTAACATCTCTGATGGTCTCATCCTTTTTCTTTTTTTTTCTTTGAACTTCCCTGTATTGTATATCTGTGATAGAAATGTCATATCCATTGTTGCATGTTTAGCTTTTATCTTTTCTCATGCTCCTATAATATCCATTTAATTCTCTTAAAATTAACTCAAAAAATTTCTTTGTTGAGGAATAAACTCAAGACAATAGTTGATTTCTCATAAGCTGGCCCGTTACCACTATCGTAAAAGAAAGTTTATTTCTAATAACCCGTGGAGTTTTCTGAGCATGAGCTAATCAAGATAGATTTATCCTTATTCTTGAATTTGGCTCCTTCTGCAGTTCTGTTGCCATGTGGCTCCATCGACTTGTCCCATCGTAATGACATGGCATCCATGCTTAGAATGTCTACTCAACTGTGTAAGGTCTAGGAATCTATTTAATATTTCAATGGAATGATGTTAGAAATTTGATAAGTAATTCATTTTTAGCTTCTGAGTGTCTTGTCTTATAATTTTAAATTCATTCGCTCTGATCTTTAGAGATCTCTTCGTTCTTTTTGATTATTTGGGTCTTTGGGAATCTCTTCTCTCTTCTGTGAATGCTTGTCGATATTGCTATTTCTGTTAATTTATCAACGACGTTTGAGCTCTCTCCTTTTTGTTTTATGATCATGACATCATGGAGTATTTTGATAAGCTTCATGGTATGTGCTTCAAAGAAATTACAATGATAATGATAACAACAACGACGACAACAACAACAACAAAGGAGGACGTGATACTCTTTGTTAATAGCACTTATTGTCATTTAACTGGACGGTGTTACCTTTTTAGATATAAGCTGCCTTTTACTACTAAAAGCCCTATAGACATAGCGTATTCTGGTTTCCATTTAATTCAAACATGACAGGTGCTTCACATTCTAAAGAATGAGTTTTGTCTTGTTTGATACTGCATCTTTCTGATGCTGCAAAGTTGTCACCCTCCTTATCGCAGGAACTTAATATGTTGGTAGTCGCTCATGAGTTGTATCCATGTTTGTTATGTGTTTATAAGGATATAGTAAGTGTAGGCTGTTAATATAGCTGATGTTGCTTCGTTTAGGTTTTGGAAAGGAAAGACGCTGCCGGAGAAAAGATATCTGTGGATCACCTCTCAGAGGTATGAGATAACTTTTATGGATGAACAATTTTCCTTGATGTGACGTGGGACTTAATAATGGTTTGCCCTTCGCAGAACCATATTACTATATATCAAAAAATGGACTTCAAGGGTGTTTTATCTCCTCTGTCCAAGTGAACTTCCTTACTTGATTGAATTTTAGATTACAACTATAACCTGCCGTCGTGGACTTGTTTAAAACATCTCGTATTTCCTCAGAGAAATCATATGTGTAGATTTCATGATTTTATTTTCTGTCATTTTTCACACAGATTTGTACTTTGGCTGTCCGAGAGTCTTTGGCCAATGTAAGCAAAATCCATCTTCTCTCTCTTAAGCTATGGTTTGTCACTAATACAGTCAGCTCAACATAGTCACGATGTTAAAGCAGCAGACTTTCTACTTTTGGCTTGTTTTGGGAACAGGTCTTTGGTGACCAGTTTGAGTCTTTCGTGAGGAATTTTGAGAAATCATTTCGTAGTACATTGATGACTCTCAGATTAATCAGTGAATCCTCTATGAACGATGGAGTACAGAAAAATCGTTGTGCAGCGAGGACTTCCGTCTCAGAAAGATCTGTGCCTTTGGTTTCCAACAGACTAGAAAATCTTACATGTGATCCTGACTTCAGCAAGTTTCAATCAGAACCATGTCAGCAGAGTGCCATATCAGATAACGAACTGAGAAATCAAGAAGAGAGAAGTGAAGATACATGTCTTGAATCAATAGGTCGGCAGCTCACCCTCTATGATAGGCAAGTAAGGCAGCAATTGGCTTCTGTTTCTTCAAGCATGATTTCATCCAATACAGAGATCAATCGATCTGTGAGTAGCACTTTGGAAAGATCTGTCATGGAGCAAGCTAGGTCGAATGACCTCAAGACATTTGAGATTGGTCTTACAATGAGGAAGTTGCAACTTAAAGAAAGGCAGCTGTCTCTCAGTTCTGATGCGAACCTTTTGGAGAGGGTCAAACTTTCATTTGGGATCTCTAAGACGTCCTTCAAAGCTGAAAAGTTTAAAAATCAAGTAGAAGACTCAAAACATGCTGAGTTGCTTAAAACATGTATAGACTGCCTTGTTGCTGGTTTATTTATCATGTTGGCGTGTCTTGGATATGGAACTTATGTTTTCTCTCACAAAAGAATTACTGAAGCTACAGCATCCTGCACCCCTGCCATGGTAAGTGATGTCTGATTCTGAATTGCGATGATTTTGTTTATAGGGTTTGTTAAGAGTTCTAGTATGGTATTGACTCAAGCCAATTGCCTCATCTCCCCTTCCACATGGTTCTTTTAGAATCTGTAGATGGCAGAAACTTAGCAACAAAAAAAGAATGTTAACTCTTCTCCCGTTGCTACATAAAGTCTTTTTCGTTGGATTCAGTAGGGGGTGGCTGGAATAGATGTAACATGGATCATTTTCGTTTATGTCACAAGCTCATTTGAGTCCCTTGTTTATGCAAGTCTGAGTCAAAACGAAAGGTGTTGGGTACATGCATGCAGGAAGTTCTTGAATGAAAAAGCCCTTTTTCAAGTTGGATGAAGGGTGGAAAAGAGGGGTAATGGTTATAGAATAATAAGGCACAATAAATATATTTTATCTATATAGTTGCCAAGTGGCATATAGCTGGGAAAAAATGGTTTCTTTATACCAAATGCCGTCTAAAGATTTGTATTTTCTCTTTCTTTCACTTCCTTTGTTCTTTTTATATCTAACAAATTCACCTACTTAAGTGATTATGCACAAAAAGGGAAGGAACTTTTTTCTCAAGGAAACTTGTCGTCCTAAGAAGTCAATGTTATTTGCTATAGATGCTGCTTTTGGTGTTATTTCTAAAGCATGGACCCCCTGGATGATAATTTAAATAGTTGGCCGTCTCTGTTTATCCATGTGTTGCCCGTGTATAGCATTTATTTGTTATATCTATGCTAATGAAATGGACATTTTTTTCGTTCCAGGAGTACAAGTCGTCTTGGTGGATGCCCAAATCAATGTCAACCTTTAATTCAGGACTGCAACTTCTACGGTGTCAAGTTCAAGTTCTCAGTCGCATGCTATTTGGTGCGCTCATGATATTGGTTATAGCTTATTTACTTCTCCAACGCTCTGCAATTTCAAACCAGACGATGCCAGTTACTTTCATTCTGTTGCTGTTGGGAGTTGGTTGCGGTTTTGCAGGGAAATTTTGTATCGACACCCTGGGGGGCAGTGGATATAATTGGTTAATTTATTGGGAGACTTTATGCTTGCTGCATTTCTTTTCGAATGTCTGTATCTCGACTTTGTTCCTGATCCTTAACGGGCCTGTCACGGTGTCAGAAAAGAGCACGAGGGATACAAGATTTCCATACTGGATGAGGAGATCTGTGTTTTATACCACATTACTTCTTTTTCTCCCATTATTATGTGGTATGATGCCTTTTGCTGGCCCTGGTGAGTGGAAGGATCACTTTTCTTCGCTGATTTTGGACGCTTTTATAACACCAGTTGAATACTAAAAGGGAGAGATTTCAAGCTTGTCGAGGAATTTTAGCTTAGAGTATCCGGCGCAAGGGTTTATTAGTTTCTGTTTACATGTAAATTTTCTCTATCAGTAGGAGCTTGCTGGTGATTATAGGCTTATAGCCCTATTGGATGAAACACTGTTTTGGTCTTTCGCCCTGTCAAGGAACTTTAGCTTTGTATCGTTAATTAGTAGAAGACGAGCGTGAAGTTTCAGGCTTGAGGGTGATTAGGTTTATTAAATTTAAATGTAAAATTATTTGTATCATTATGGAAGAGCAAGATGAGGCCTTGTATCATTAGTTTTCCTTTATTTTTGGTTTATAAGTGGGAGAAAGCAGGTTGAGTCTTGTAACATCACCTTGTGAAAATGCAGGATACAGTAGTGCCAAAGAGCATTCCTTCTATTTATTTAAATTAAAGAAGTATTGGTTTGTAGATTGTGTCGTCTACTGGTACCAATGTTCTATGATCTGTTTATATGCTTCTTCACGATTTGTTGTATACTACATTATTGGAATCTATATGGTTTTGATTATTTAACCTGATTGGTCTTGGGATTTAATTTTTCATTCTGTCATTTTTGTTCTTTTTGGGAAGGATGCTGTACCTAGGTTGTTACACAACCAATAACATTATGAGCAACTTAGAACATAAAAATTAAACGGCAATTACACTTGCCTTCTTTTCATGGATACAAATTTAGAGGGTTCAATAGCCAAAAGGTTGTTAATAATTATGAGGAAGCACTGCACCCCAATGTAAATCTATAAATAAAATGCTAACTTCATGGATAGATGGTTTTGGTAAAGGGGCAGTCCGGTGCAAAAAGCAACTCCGCGTTCACGTAGGATGATCACATCGCACTCAATGAGTGTGATGTAAACTGTCTACTCTAATGCAAGCATTAGTGGCTGCTTCAACGGCTTTAACTATTTAGACTTTTTTGGTACTCGGAACTATTTAGATGGCAAGTTTTCCTTCCATAAGGTTCTTTTATTTTCTTTCTTTCATTTTGGTGAGGATCAAACTTTGACACTTACAAGATATTTAGTAGCATCTCTAGTCTCTACCAATGACCACCCAATCCTCTAAATGTTCACGTTACTTCCTATCTCATATTTACCATTGCTTCCTTTTCTTTTTGGGTGAAGGAGGGGGAGTGCAGTTTATGTGTATTTGTACCTTGGATTTAGCAGTCGCTCCATTCCATTTTGTGATACTATATTCTTATTAATCTATTCACTAAAAAAATTATACTCTGGTATATTTGAAAACAATTTAAATTTAAATTTTTAGTTACCTTTATTGACATGCTTTATACCTACAGAAATTTTATAACATGTTTAACAACATTTGTTCTAAAAGTTTTTCTTTCTTTCTTTTTTAAAACATCATTTGCGTGATGTTTTCTATTACAGTACGATATTTTCCACTTTCCAGACACCCTGGGATTCAACCATTTTAGCCAACTTTCAAATCATGGATATTTCTGTTCCGCAAGGATTTCCACAGCCCAAAGAAATCCGTTTGCTTTTGTTTTAGCAGAGGCTTTCAGTACATAAGTAGCCATAGCATAGCTGCAAATATTAGCAATGATTCATCCCAATCAAAAATGCAAGAGGAAGCAAGCAGTTAATTTTGGTCCTGCTTAAGAATTAGCCATGCTCACATAAGTATCATATCAGAAGAAAACATCATCATGAGTGGATACAACATTCACTCAAGTTTATATGAAACTAAAAATTTATAGCTCAAAGTCGAACTGGGAACCAACTGTTAATTGCAGCTCCTATTGTTTGTAGGGGTGAACACGATTACTAAAGCTTCAGCAGAAAAGGATTACAGTTGTATCCGGAATGAGGAAAAAATTTCACAGTTAGCGAAGACAAGAACACGTTGCCAAAAATTTACTGAACTCTAGCTATAAAGGTTGAGACAAAAAAACTACATTTTGCTTCTCTGTATCTTCTACATCCTCAAATAGTTCCATAAATCTAAATGGTTGCTTCAAGGTACAAGCTTAAGTTGAGCAGTATGATTCCATCATGCAGCTCCAAAGTAGGCATCCAAAAGTACATGGTTCGACAATATAGTCGCTTATATTTTTTATGCATCATTCAGAAAACTGTGTGAGCCTTCCCATAGTATCTGTTTATGAATGGAGACTGCAAAGAAAATTTGGGAACAAAAGAAAGAGGTGAGGACCACGAATTTTATCTGCAACATATCAAACAGTTAATAATCTATATTGAATCTTAACATAGATCTCATTTTAATGTTGTGTTACACTAAAGCAGCAATACAGCCTAAATCTTTGAGGGTTTAACGCTCTCAATTATCTGTTTCATCAAAAATCTCATACCAAATTGTGGGGGAGCGGGGGAGGGAGGGGTCCGAACAATCTCACTAAACAATAGCTACGCAGCCATGAGGTCATGCATAGACCTATTTATACAAAACTTAAGACTACGAACAGAATACTAACCTTGACCTGAGATACATCAGGCGCATCAGGTGAGGGCATCGGATAAAATTTGTAAAACTTCATACTCTGAAATGCAGCTTTTGCTTCTTCGCTCATCTCCTGTATAGCTTTTTTCCTGGCTTCTCTCGCCTAAAACAAAGAAAATTATGAGTCATTAACATAAGCAAATCAAGCACTCTGGTATTGACACAAACCAACAGTTTTAACACGAAAAAAGATACAGGATTGCAACAAGAATCTCAAAATATACCTCTCGATTATTCTTCTTTCCTTCACGAACCTTCTCCTTCACAAATTCCTATAATGACAAAGATGATTCATTTAAGTTTTACAATTTTTTTGATAAGGTAAATATTTTATTGATGTACAATCAGTATTTTCATTTGATATCACAAGGAAACGTTACCATAAATTCATCTTTTTTATCTGCCGCTAACTCCTCTGCCTCAATTAATTTGTCTGCCATTTCCTACAAATTTTGTCACTCAAGTTAATAGATGGTAAAATGGCTTGAAAATGGAACTAGACACAGGCATATACAGATTGGTATGACTTGAAACTAGCAAAACTTGCAATACTTAAACCAATAGAGGAAAATGCTAATCCTCCTTTGTTTCATATTGGAAAATTTACCTCTTCAGTAAAATGAAAAAATTATCTCACTAAATCAATTCAACTCAAGTATAAACTGTAACTATTTTATATAGAGCTTCGCCTCTCTCCTTGAATGGAATTCACGCCAACAATTCATATAACAAACTTAAACTTTATTTTATTTCAAACTTGATGCAGTATTCTATCAACTAATTACTTTGCTTCTTCACATGTCAAAGTTTATAATCTTAAACACTTTCCAAACTTGATACAAGTTCGCCATTCAATCTCCAAACGACTGTGGTAAGAAAAATGGCAACCCATAGGATGATTATTTTAAGCCTCTCGCTGGAACTGCTAAGAAAATAAAATTTGTCCACTCTTACAGTTGTCTAAAACATGGAATCATCATAAAGAAAAGCCAAATCGGAGAAAAGGCAGGATCTGGTCAGAAATGGCTGAGTGAGGTCCAGAAAGGTAAACAATTTTCTATTGTGGGTTCCAATGAGGAGAATTTTCTCCTTTCCATTTTATTCTAGTAAATGGAGAAGAGAGAAGTTTGGTTTTGGTTGAAAACAAAGAATTTCTTAGTGATAGTTCAACAAAAAAAGAGAGTTTATTTCAAGGAATTGCTGGATTCTGTTTATTGTGTGTAAGCAAACGCTGGAACAGCAGAAATCATAAAGATAACATATTGTATTGGATAGTAGCAAATGTGCAAGTTAAACATTAATTTTTTTGACGATCCTTGGAGTTCATCAACGCTGCTCAAATTTTTTAAACCTCAAAATCCAATCAAACTCACAAATATGGTATCTCAGCAAGAACCTCCGAGTTCTTTTTTTGAGAATGAACAAGAACCTCTGAGTTCTTGCAGTTTACTAAATTAGGATAGAATTCAATTATGCAACAATCACACAAATATCGAATAGTTTCTTTTTTCAGCTGAACAAGTCTCTCTAAATTTAGGACATTAAAAGGAGAAAATGGAGAAGTTCCTTTTATAGGAGACAGAGAGAAGTTCAAGCTGGTGGTCAAATGTCTTAAAGAGCTTCAACATATGAGGCCAACCACAGAACCAATTAAAGAGATTCTGAACAGCATTTTAATTTTCATTTGGAAAGAGGACGGCACCCAAAAGTAGACAGGTGGCAGGGAATAAAAAGAGAAGGGTTAAGCATACCTCTGGCTCATCAAATTCCCAATCAAACTCGCAAAACACCTGAAGCAAAACAAAGTCAAAACATTCATAAAATTGTGAAGATCATGCCTATATGCCTATACTTCTCTTCATATAACCACTTATGAATCTAGTATACAACATTGCTCATGTCACTCCCAACTAATAACAATATCAAACCAAGAAAAGTCATCCTCAAGCAATCCCTTTTATGACACTATCATTGTGGAATAGCTATTGTATAGTCTACTAGTATTTGAAAGCTTACAGGCGGTTCTGTTGGGAATAAGATCTGCACGATGGTGCTCTGTTCAAGTTCATCTTCTGCAAATGGCTGATAGAAATCTGCCAAGAAAATAAATGTCACAGAGACTTCTACCCAAAAACAGAACCCATCAAAGACAACTATAACAATTAAAAAACGTACAGAGCAAGGAAAGTTAAAGTTGACAGTTTATCGTCTCATTCACAAGTGAAAAACTGCAAAATAAACAGCAGAGAAAAATGTATGAAACTGATGCACCAAGCTAGAATCAACTAATATAAGAAATCATTAGATATCATCTTCTCAAACAAACTTAAACCCACATATAAAGGCTAACATGCTTGATATCCAATTAAATAATTTTATGATGATTATCAGAAACATCTTAGTAATTTAACGATGACGTTTTACAACAGATCAAGTATATGTAAATACATATAAAAAGAAAAAATCAGACAGCAAAAAGTCAGTAACTAAAAGATTTTAGTTTTCTACACATTCAGAAAAGGGAGAACTAAATTATATTCAGTGCTAGCACACAGACAATGCAACTTTAAAATTTCGAATTTTCTGAATTTAAATACAGTGACTTGTATCATTCAGCGATACAAAATTAAGCAATCCAGCCAAAAAGCTTCACTCAGAAGATAGTTTTCTCAAAACAGCTCATTAGAGATATATTAAAATTCATTTCAGAGACTCCCAGCCAGGGATAAGCACAGCAGTACTCCAAGCTTTTATTCTGCAGTTACAGATGTTAGTACACAGCCATGCCCAATAAGCAAGCCTTACCACAATTAGGCATTACCCAATGCACCTTATACAAAGAAACATGTCCCAAATCTGACTGTGCCATCTCGGAATGAAGAAAAAGATAGGATAAGTGACCGACTCATCATCCTTACAAAGATAGAAGCAATTTGCTAACCTAAACCCTCTCCCCCCTGTTGAATGTTATTCTAAAGCAAATTAGCCTGCAGTGCAACTATTAATCTCAGAGGTCCACATATCCCCCAAGCAAGTTTGTAAGGAAGCTAATCATCAAACTTGTTGCTTTTAGAAATGAGAATTAATGAGAAAGGCTTGATGCAGACCACCTTTACATGTTAATAACTCAAGTAGTTATGGACTAGCAAGTCCTTAGACCTGCTTGAGAACAACAAATGTGGGGGAGGGTGGGAAGGGAGTTACCTCTGAAGATAGATTCTGAAAGAAAGATACACGCGTCAATTATCATGATACTATAACAGAATCAACTAATCTCAGAAATTAAAGCAGCATAAAGGTAAAACTTAAGCTACGTTAATGATGGACACAAGGAAACAAATAAAGGGCTTAATCTCCATAGCTATTGGAGTTATATTACTTACAAGGTAAGCAATATTCAAACTTCTTCACCCGCTCCAGCTTCAAGTGTTTTAAACCAGCCCTGGAATAAACAAGTAGAAAGATATTAATCACAGAAAGTTTTTCATTGTCTCCTATCACCACTTTAACACGGAAGCATCATGCATCTTATGACAGTGAAAAATTCTCCTCAGATACTATACTGAGAAAATTGAGTGCCTAACAGACCAAATACCTTCAGCCAAACCATCAAAGAAGAATGCAGGAGGTAAGGAAGCTGACCTTCTTTGAGTACACCTCAGAATAAAAATTTGGGATTTGAGTCTTTCAACTTGAGATTCCCTGTTGGTCAGCCAAAGAATAAAAGCAGCATCAGAAGCCAAGATATAAAACAGTTACATAAGACATACAAGAGAGGCAACAAGAAAGAAAGTTAACTAAGGGACAATGCCATTGTTCCATAAGGAACGTATGTTGTTTGAAGCCAAGAAAGACATACATAAGACTTACAAGAGACAAAATGCGAATGAAACTGTTGGGTTTTTTTTTTTTTTTTTTAGGGGGGGGGGGGGGGGTTACCTAGTTTTCCAAAGGTATGTATGGAACCCAGTCCATTTTCATCTGTTTCATTGGCAGTATCTCTTCAGCTTCCCTTTGTACAGAGTTTATTCCAATTTTATCAGAAGGTGGAAAAGGAGATGCAACCTGTTCAAAAGGAGGAATAAAAATGACTATGAAAGAGAGGAGATTATATAATGTATGTTTAAGGAAGAACAAAGAGTTTTTAACTAGCCTGTACATGAGGTAAAAGGATGTCAAGTTCTGAAATCATATTACTTTTACAAAAAGCACAAAAGCTAGAACCATGGTAAGGTTCTTGTCCCAAAAAAAAAAAAGAGAACCATGGTAAGGGCACCTTAATAATACACGAGAAACCGCAGAAAGTCGATTGAAGTCATCAGCAATTGTTCTCTACTTCTTTTTCTGTCTTTCCTAGGTTTAGTCTCTCTCTCTCCGCAGTGTTGATACTCTTCTATATGGCTCAGCCCAAGAAATTTCGTTACTCGAGTGTACAACCTTGTCACATTTTCAAACTTCTTAAGGTCACTAACAGTAAGGGGATGGGTTCAAAAGTAAATTCTTTGTAATCTTCATGCCGTCCATTTCCGGGTGGACCAGACTAAGCTATACGCCTATACCCGACAAACAAGATGTCAAAATGGGTCAAATTGAAAAATGCAGCCAATTTAATTTTTATGAGCAGTGAAGAATATCTAAACAGAAGTGAAATGCATAAGGTTAATAGTTCTAACTATTTCAATATAAAGCTAGATCTTAGTTAGAACTATTAACCTTATGCATTTCACTTCTGTTTAGATATTCTTATATTCTTCAATATAAAGCTAGATCTTAACCCTCAGAGGTTGGCCTGGTGGCAATTGACTTGAGCCTTGGGGTTTGCTCCCTTTCAAGGTCTCAAGTTCGAAACCCACTGGGTGCAAACAATTTCTTAGGGCCATCGGACTGGGTAAAACCTGAATTAACGTGGTGCACTTGCGGGAAACTCCTTGCCGAGGGCCTGTGCACCCCCGGGATTAGTCGGAGCTCTAAGAGACTCGGACACCCGGTGCAAATCAAAAATATATATATATAT